AAAAAAAAAAAGAAAATTTACTTTACTAGGGTAACATGTTCACTTTCCAGAAGTGATTGGAATTTGGACAACATTTAACTTAAGCTTCAAGCAGCTTTTTATGAGTTTGTAGCAATCCGGTGCAGTAACTGAGCCATTTCCTATTTTAAATGGCTTCTATAGAAAATTAACAACTCAGTTATTAAACTAGCAGGATCCTACAATGATACATCTAGTGAAAGTAGACTTAGTTAACTTATTTATTTCTATTTTATGTTTCACTGAGAGAAGTTTCCATCTCATTCCAGCTGCTTTATTTATCTTTTTCATGGAACTTTGCATGGATTTCTTTTTCTTTTTTTAATTTTGAAGAGTGGAGTTAGATGTTCTTACCATAGAATTTTACAGGGTTATATACAGCTTTCTTTACTGCATTATATGTAGGAGTGTGGTGCAGTGCTTTTATCTGTAGCATATAATTTTTTTTAATTTTCCATTTTTCAAGAGTAGTTTCTGCTTTGTTAATATTTATACACAGGCTACTTGTTGAAGTAATTAATTAAAAATATAACCAAGTGCCTAAGTCTTTCAGCTGATGTACTAGATATTAAATTCTCCTAAGTTATGCAGAATCGTTTTTACAATTTTGATAAATTATGCACTAATGTAATGGCAGTTTTTTAAAATGCAGATTTAAGCCTGTACATTATTGAATCTGATGACTTGGCAAAAGAATCAGGTGCTTTCAGCTTTCTTGAGAAAACCCTGTATGTAGCGTTTGCACTGACTAACAAGATGGTATTGCTGGGTTTTTAATTTAAACTAATTAATTTGGATGTTCATTGCATTATCTTGGTTAAATATTGTTTATTGTTACTTCATGTTGGGATTTAGTTTTTCTTATTTTTTGACTGTTAGGTTGATGAGACTATGAACCATGTAATAGTAGAACATTGGCTAACATTTATTCATACTTAGAAACATGAATAATTTCTGCCTTGCTAAAATGTGACTGAAATGGTTTTGACTTGGCATCTGAAAGTATACAATGTGTTCAACAAGTCGTGCCTCAGATTTGTGGGAGGTATTGTATTGAAACCTAAATTTCAGTTAACATTTGAAAAGAAAAGCTGGGCATTCCTTCCTGGTGATCTTTACCTATAGTTTATCTGTTTTTCTTTCGTTTCTTTAAGATTAGTTTGACTTTTATTATTATTTTTTTAATTAACTTCTGTGAAGTTGTTTACTCTGAAAATTGTACTGGAATATTTTAAGCCAAGCTGATCTTTCACCAGGTGTACTGTATGTAAGGGCTTTTCCTGCTAGCAAGATGCTTAAACAGGATCATGTTATTGGTCGTCTGAGCTATTTAGTTGTTTTACAAAACCACAGCATTGTATCAGATAAGATTTTGATAAAAAGTTTTGTGCACATTTCCAGGGGCGGGAGGGTTGACATTTCCCTGAAATTTCTTGATTAGAATGAGTAAATACTGGTGTTTGATACCTGTCTTAATGAACATGCTCATAAGGTGACTGATAAGTTGTAAATATACCTGAGAAACAAAGGGGTAGTTTTGATATTCTGGTGTCAGTATGGAAGATCTTACACATTTATTTAATACTCAAATGTATGAAGATGTTTGTTTGTAGCATAACAACAGCACAGTAGCCTTGACTTAGTTTCCTTTGGTTAGTACTGTACCTTTTTGCCATGGCCAGTGCTCCCCATCCCTATGAAGACATTTTATTTATTTCACTCTGTAACCTGAAATGAATAGGAACAAGGGTTTTAAACCATGTTACATTAACTTATTTCTGACATTATAAATTAGCCTAGAATATTACAGGAACATGATTGTTATATAATTTATATCAGACCTTTCTATAAATATGTGCTTCTTACATTTGAAATGCTTCCAATGTACTTTATTTGCTGTTTGTAATTCCAAAAAGGATATGCAAACCAGTCTGTCTATTTCATGGATATTTAATAGTGAGATCTTCCATGTTGAAGGTAATGTATTTTTTTTTAAGATTTTAAAATTGCTATTTTGTTACAAAATAGAGACCTATTAACAGTTTGAGAGCTCCTTATGTGCCCTCAGGGAAAGAACCCTCTGTGCAACAGAACTACACAAAACATCTTCAGCACGTTCTGAGGGTGAATATATACTACATAAATTGATCTTGTGTATTTAACCTTATCTTTTTAATTTTAAAATTGAAATTTTGAAACTTGGTTGT